TGCGATGTGATATGTTGGTCGGTATGTTCTTCCGGATTTACTACAAGTAGAACTAGCTTGTGGTCGTGTTTATTAGGAGATGAGGTGGGTAGGGATGTGCACAGGGAGTACGAGTACTTGTACAGTACCAGAGTATCATAGGAGGTAGAACTAGTACAGTACCGTACTCGAGTATCATGTCATACCAAAAAAAGCTCCCTACTAATTTACCACTACTACGATACGCCTCCCCCATTCATTCCTTTCCCTTAAAACTATTTCCATGAAATTCGACATATGACTATCCTACGGTATTCGAACTCGTAATCTGCTACTTAGTGGCTTGTGGTCACACCCCCCCCTCCTTCCTTCTCTCTTTCTTATTTTCTTCTTCCTCCTCTCTTTCATCCCCCAGCCCTGCAGATGACTCCCTTAAAGAGCCCCAGTAAGGCTGAAGATCACTTACCTCTTCTACGAGACATGAACTTACTTTCCTGCCATTACTTTGCTGGAAATTTGATCGATCGCATTGCTATGGCTGACTTGATGCTTTGAAACCTTTTCCCATGCGGGCGGTGGGTGTAGAGAAAAAGCAAAAATGAAGTAGGAAATGCACTTCGAATGCTATGGTAACATGGTGTGTTCATGGCCGTATTTTCTTTTTTCATTGGTTGCCCGTCCGTCGGTTTGTCAGAAAATGACCATTTGGGGTTTTGTTCGGGATATGAGAACGCTTGCGCGAAAGGGACGTGGTACTGTGAGATGGTATTGGGATGGGATTTTTTTTTTCCCCTCCAAAGAAGCCTCGATACTTGCACGGTCTTGTAGCACAAAGCTGGTTCTAGCGCTCAATTACCATGGCGGCATTGTGCCCGTGCTCCACTGTGGTCGTGTTTAGTCCTGTTTAGTCTTGTTGGTCCAGTCCTTTTGTACTACAACTGGACGCCGGATGATGTCAGTCCACTTCTAACTCTCCACATCTCCACATCCCCTCATCCCCCCCCTCCCCGCTCTTCACGAACCGACCGACCAACCGATGAAGTGTATAAAAAAAACATCCGAACCATCCCAACGAATAAACCATACCCGGTCCATCATCGTCATCATCGGAGACTGCGATACTGACCGCAGGATACTCTCGCCAACTCTGTACGGTGCTATACATGCCGCTACGTCTGATGGGGCAAGTATATTCGAGTGACAAAGCATGAATTGGGGGGATTTCCCCGCGTGCGCGTGTGCATGAGCGTGTGCATGCTGTCGAGCAGGGTGGGTGGGAGTTAGAAGTTGTGGTAACCCGGTACCGTGCAAGTACCGTACCTACCTACTCGAGTACTCGAGTACTCGCACAGGTATCATAATAACGGTGGCTGACACCTGTGCCCGGGCACGGCATTACTGGTACGGTAGTTGAATTAGGTTCGCAGAACGTCGTTTTGGACTTCCCGATGGGGGGGGGAAGGAAGGAGGGTCCTTGTCTCGTGGTGGTGAGTTCGTTTCTGCTGCAAGGGATGAGAGAAGGGTTCAATTAAGGGTTCCTCGAGTACCGGTGCGTTATGTGTTAATGCACGGTACTGTGGTGTGAGGAAGGCTATTTACTACCGGCTGGGAGGTGGATATGGGAGTGGGAATGGGAATAGGGAATTATTGAAGGGGAGAGAAGTGCGGTACCGGTGTCTACTGTAAGGGGCGATACCGTCGACACACAGGTTGGTATCGTGGATTAGAATTCTTCGCATGCGCATTCCTGATGCAAACACAGTCTCGCCTAGGAACCGATATTCTAGATCTCCAGGAGTAACCTCAGCTTGGGATCGACGATAGCGACAGAGTAAAAAATGGGTTTCCGCCGCAACGTCGCGGGGTAAAATCCTATCGGCAAGAAAAAGAAAAGAAGAGAAAAGAAAAGAGTTGGGTCGGTGAATATTTTATTTTTCTAATAATTTTCATACTATTGCTCTTTCCTTCGGCGTACCGGTATCATATCATTCTACGGATCCGATCATACTATGATACTTTTTGAGTCACTCAAACTTTAACGAGCAAGGAGGGGAGAGTTTTCCGGGTCGAGGGTTGAGGCTCTGCGGAAGCTATTTTAGGCACTGGCGGTCAGTTCCGTTTCGGGAATCCTAATCGACCCCCCTCAGATAAACTAGGGCATACCAGAGCTGAAGTTGAAGTGAATGAGCAAAGTCCCCGGGCAGCACTCTTTGCCATCATTACCAACACCATCGTCGCCTTCCATCTTCAGACACATTCTGAACTGCCGGTACCCTCAGCTTCTTATCTACGCCGCATTGAACTCGTGTACTCCTGTACGCCGCTTCACCTCCTCTATACCGTCATAACAACCAAGTATAACCAGCCGACCAGCCAACCAACCTCCGATCCATGAATCCGATACCCAACAACGTGGACGAGGTTCTCCCGGGTCTATTCCTCGGAAAGTAAGCCTTATCGCAACCCCTCGCGAGCAAGACAGACCTCCCCCCAGTACCCTTCATGATTGTCCCACGCTAACGCCATGTCTCTAGCCTTGTAGCCGCAGAATCGCTAGATATCCTCAAAACGTGTGGCATAACACACGTCCTATCCCTAACCCACTCCCTTCCAAAAATTCCTGAGGAAGCGGGTGTAATCCATCGGCACATTCCAATCCTCGACGTCCCGACGCAGAATATCCTCGCCGTCATCGACATATGCCTGGACTTTATGGCCGAGGCCCTGCGCGAGGAAGGGAACAACATCCTTGTGCACTGTTACTTGGGCAAGTCCCGGAGCGGGGGTGTTGTTGTTGCTTATGGTACCGTATACCCTCTCGCCCTACTCCCTTCCCCATCGACCCCTCCTAACAGGAACTAACTCGTGTTTCTTAGTCATGAAAAAGCAAAATATCCCTCTCGCCCTCGCTCACGCCTTTGTCAAATCCAAGCGTCCGCTCGTGCACCCGAACCGCGCGTTCAGGAGCCAATTAGAACTCTGGGGTACGTCCGGCTACGATTCTGCTATACTTAATGATCACGAGATCGTCGATTTTGGATTCGGCGAGGAAATCCCCGCCGCGTATAAGAAAAAGAATAGTAAGAGTAGTAGCAAACGTCACGGTCACGGTAGTAGTCTTGACGGGGCTAGCGCCTTGCGCTCCCAAGATCTCGCCCGCAAGTTGGAAGAGATTGCCCCGCAGGAGGCGGTGACAGGGGAAGAGGCGGGAGTGAACGGAGGGTGGGGGGTTGTGCATATGGATGAGGTTACGAAGACTTTCTTTGAGAGTTGTCTTGATGAGGTTGGGATTGTAAAGAAGAGTTCCAGGAGGGTGTGCTGGGTCGGGTAAGAAACCTTTTGGCTTGGGCGTGTCCTGCAGTATGTCTTCACTTTCTTTTCTTTCTCCTCCACGATGGCGGCACTTGTCCTTTTCTCCACTGTTTTCGAGTGATTCGTTTCCTGCAACGTGGCGGCTGGGCAAGTGGGTTGTGGTGTTTTTACAGGGATGTGGCTTGGTGCATGGAGTCTCACTCGGTTCTTGTGTCTGGTGTTGAATGTCGAGCGCTATGTTATCATATTTATGGCGATGATGTTTTTTATGATTCTGGTATGATGATGGAAATGGGGTCTTGTTTATTGTACGGAGTCTCGCGCTTGGGCTTATGTTTTCCTCTAAACATTATATCCAATAAACATGGCAAATGAAATTACTCCTCGCATTATGTACCCTCCTCGACTTATGGGACCCAGAGATATACCAAGGCATGAACTAGTGTGGGCTCCTTGAGATCTCACAGGGGCTGGTGACAATTTGCTCCATTTTTAGCTAGTTCTTCACCTATAGCGCCCAAAAACCCACCTCCGGGTAGTGTGGGGGGACCTGTAGGAAGCTTTCTTTTGCAGATCCATTCAAGTCAGGTACGATACTTGTTGACTCCGTTTTCGCTCTTCCGGCCTTTCCTTTCTTCCGCCCCCTTCCGCCCGGCCTTCCCAGGTATGAATATCATATGCTTCATTGTTGCTATGATAGATAGACTGCAAGTAGGGGGGGGGGGGTAGGGTGGAAGAAGGAAAGAAGGGAGCGCAGCAAGTCCGATCAGATCTTCTTGACCGCCATAACTGCCATTTCACTACCGTGCAGAACACAATGGGAGTTCTGGTGGCCTCGCTGTGCGGTGAGTATCATAGCTAGACTTGATTCGTTCTCCCTATCCCGTCCCTTGCGGTTCGCTGGCGGGATAGGTGCAGGCTGCGGAAGCTTCGCTACTGGTGGTTAGGAAAGCACCCCTTGTTTCTCAGTGTCTATCGGCGAATGCGCAAAAGTGATAACTAACAGTTGTGGATAAAGGCGGAAGGAAGGAAGATGAATCACGCAGCAGTAGTAATCACAGATGGTGGAATAAGAAAGGATTCACTTGGAACTTTGGGTCACGGACGGAGAAAGGTAATAATGGGGGTTACGATGATTTGTTCACAGTCACTTTTAAACAATTTGTGAACGGTAGGTTGTGTTCTGTGTCCTGCGTACACTAACTACTCCCGTGGTTGGTAGAGGAAAAGGGTGTCAGGAGGATCTTCTCCGGAAATCTCCAAAAAGCTCTAGAGAAATCTGTAGAAGTACAGCGTACTTCTGGGACTTTTTACCAGTTGGACTCCAGGAATTTGAATACTCGGTCTGCCTGCTGCTAGTATTGTCCTTTTGGAAAAACCTTCAGCGTGTAGAGTGCGCACCACTACTACAGACCTCGAGCGTTCTTTATTTGGTCCTGTAGTTGTTTCTGGTGATTCAGGGGAGTGTTTTGAATATTTTCTTCCTTCGAGTTCCGCCCTTCTTGGTGCTGGTTTGTCGCCTTTTTTTTGGCGGGCCGTCCGTTAGGCTCTGCTCCTAGCGAGCGGGAGGTAAGGCGTAAGTGCTGGGTTGTGAGTATGGGGAGGGGGGGTGACATTATCGGGTGATGTAGATAGTATGGGGGGTTTTTTTTTTTGGAGGGTAGTAAAATAGGAGGAGGGGGGGGGGGATCAGCGAATAATACACTGAAAGTGTATGTCTTGTCAAACGGGGATATTGTTTCGGCCTGTTCGTTGACCCTCTCTTTGTTGCGATGCTGAGACTCATGATACTAGTACTGTGCAAAACAAGTATCATAATATTATAACCAAGTCTGCGATTCCAAATCACCCGGGTGTATTCGCCAAACACCCCGATATCCAGATACCACCTGAACATTCCAGCTAAAACATGCCCTACCAAACCGACCCCAAACACTGGGACTCCGCGAGGAACTTTTGATCACAAACGACATGCTCATGAGCCGGGAGCCGGGCGGGGTGTCGCCACCCCCACCCGGCAAACCAAATAAGATTATGATATGATTCAGGCGTAGGGGTACATGATCTCTAGACTTTGTGGGCGAGGCATGCCACCCATACAGAAAGTCCCGGAACTACCGTACTCGCTGAATGGGATTGCGGGGAAGGGAAGGGAAGGGAAGGGAAGCGTGGATTGTCTCTAGCAGGTTGGGGGTCCCACATGATACCACGTGGTGTCAATTCACCGGCAGATCGTGGTCTCGGCTGATGTACCGTAGTTGCCTGGTCGTGGCTGCCAGAGGGGAGGGGAGGAGAGTGGTGGTGGGTCTGTAGATCTGGGGCGGGGGAGTGAGGGGTTCGGTGCGGATCTTTGCGGAATGGGGGTGGAGGTGCATGGAAATTTCGTATCTGGTCCTGTTGGTGTTACGAATTGTGTGTTTGGACGGAACGAGATAAGAGGGTAGATTGGTTTCGCTCGTTATGGGGGCAAATACGAGGAAATCATTGGGGTGTAGGATTGGGCGAGGTGGTACGGGAGGGGTGTGGAGAGGAGGCAATGTCCTGACCACCTTCTAATGGTTAGTGCCCGGAAGCTGGAGTGTCGTGGGTTGAGGAACTACAAAACTATGATAGCTGAGTTAGCATATAGTTGGAGGTTACACATCTGGGTTTGAGTTGTTGGGGGGGTGGAGGTGTTAGGAAACTGCTTGAAGTTTATGGCGGGGGGCAGCTATTTGTTTGCTGGGACGGTGAA